AGGCCACTACTGTCAATCAAACCTGGTCACACCACACCCACACAGTCCTGATGAGGCACATTAGCTCAGTGTTTGAATGTAAACTCTTAATAAATATTTCTTAAGGATGCTTTTTTTCAACAGTATCTTGAATTGTTGTTTATTTAGTCATTAATTAAAAAGATGATTCGAGAGAATTTGAAACCAAGTTTTAAGGGGTGTTAAAATGTCTTGTTTTATCTCACCAACAGTCCAAAACCCAAAGATACTCACTTTATATCTCTTCTCGATCATAGAAAAGCAAGAAAAACAGGAAATAGAACCAATGAATTTTTGCCATTTTGCCTGGAAAACATATAAATGGTCAGTCAATAGTTGATTCATTTTCACACAAGATCATTTTATTCTTTCTTGATAACACACTCCAGGGTTCTGCACGGGTCTGATTTTCAACACCCGCTTCCGAACCAGAACTAAGACGTGGAATACCACACCTGTCCCGCCATCTGTGCCTATGGCCGAACCCAACCTGCCGTCCTGAAACCGCACATCCTATAATAACCATGCGCTTTTTCAAATAATTTGATTTGGCAACACGTTTTCATTTCGAGCCATTTCCAACATGTGAAACTGACATATTTTAAAACAAAGGTAATTCAGGAAATACAATTTAAATGACTATTTTTCGCTTATTCTCATAAGATTGAGCAGCATGTCTCTACAGTTAACATGCCTGTTAGTAACGCACCTGATTGAAGCACCTTTCATATTCAGGTGGCACAGAAGACAGCCGTCACACAAGGTTGGCAGAAAGAGGACTAAAATTTAAAACATTAAATTATTATTATTCTCATCTTATTTTATGATATATGTCACCCAACATCTGTGATTTCTTTTTTCCACCCAAAACTGAACCCAGAAATAAAATAAAGAAAGGGTATGAGATCACTGAGAAGTGCAGACAAATTCCTTTAAATGAACCACTTTCCTGCAAATGACTTTTTAATTAAATGTGCACACACACCATTGAATAAACGCACAAATTTTCCCATTGTTAAATTTGTTTGTGCATGTGCATTCACAAAACGGCTCCCATTAAAAAAACAAAAAGGTTTTAGGAAAAGCCAGGAAGTGTGCACGTGGGGGTTTGGACCTCAGGGGTCTTGGGCGGGTAGAGGCTATCTGCGGTCCACCCATGTGTAACTGATGCGGCTGCTGTGTGCGCTGGTGTGGCTAATAGAGCAAATGGTGGGTGAGACGTGTGGGCTGGCTGATGGGGAAATGGGGTCATTTAGTGTCATAACCTCGCTCGTGTAATCTACAGTTTAATACGCGCCTTTTGTGTTTCTTTATGAGACATGCTTTGACTCACTGTGGGACTTTTTAATGGCCTCATCTCTCTGAATGATCATTGGAGTTACACAGTGCGTTGGCTAATATAATCTGTACCCCGGGAGTGTGTGTGCACGGCTGCAGGCGAGTGTGTGTAGCAGGGAGAGATGGGCAGAGGGAGTTTAGTGCGAGTGCATGAAAGAGTGTGTGTGTGTGTGTGTGAGTTCACGTTTAGAATGTGTCAGAGGTCCCTATGCTAATGTGTGCGTGAGAGGACTCTGTGTGTAAAATCCACCCTCTTTAAGGATGCACAGCAGAGCCAGCGGCACCGCGGACAACATCCATGCATTTACATGATCAATGCTTATTGCAAAATGTGTGTGTGTGTGTGTGTGTATGCTTGTGTATCTCTGTGTCCATCAACTGCGTCTGTATGTGTGCGCATGTAGGCCTATTTTAATTGTTGCCATGGAAACAGAGTGCTGCTAGAGAAGTCCAGATTTCAAAGAGGGCATCTCTCTCTGTCTCACTCTGACTCTCTCTCTCCTGCTCTCTGTCTTTCTTCCTGTTCCTCCTCTTCTCTTCCATCCCTCTCTCTCATCTTTCTGCTGTCTCTCTACGGTTTCCCCCCCCCCCCCCCCCCCCCCCCCTTCTCTGTCTCCTCGTGCCTCTTATCATCCCTCCCTCATTCCCTTCCCTCCCACCTCTCCATCCTTCCTCGAGAGTGGTGTGCAATCGACTATTAACACAGGGACCTGTAATTAGAGCTGACGAACCTCCAGCAATTAGTTTTCCCTAAAGAAGTTGTTCTGTCATCTCTGCATATATCCCTTTATCCCTCTCTCAATCTCCCTCTTGCTTTTTCTTCCTCACTGTCATTTCCTGTCTTATTAGCTGTCAGCTACGCGGGGCGGTTATTGTTTCAGTGTTTTTGTTCTTCTTTGTTGTACCTTCCATCTGCCTTGTTAAAGGCAGTCATCGATGAGATATACACACAATACACCGCTCAGAACAACTTTATGAGCAACTACACCCCCAGCGTCCTGGGTGTCTCTGCCCACAAAATCAGAGTGAACATCTATTCCCACCGACTGTACACCTACACTGACTATATGCTGATAGACTTGAGAAGACACATGCCCTCCTACACACTCAGATGTAAACATACAGAGAACACACACACACATCTTTCTCAGAAAGCCTCTTTTATGTCTGTGCTCAGCCCAGTTGACAGAAGAAAATGTTGGCATTGTACGTTTCTGCAAACCAGCAGTGTGTTAAATACATTATATTGCTGTTTCACAGATGACTTAATATATGAGCTGACTTTGTCATGGGGAGATGGAGGGGATGGTGGATGGTGTGACACTTAGGTGAGACGTCTGCCCTGCTGCAGACTGCAACAGACCACTGTCTGAGACCAGCAAACAACAGCACTGGTTGTTTCTTTCAGCTATTTAGCCCCCAAAAGTGGGTGTTTTTTAGTGATCCATGGCTGTATTTACAAAAGCTGCTGGAAATCAATGTGTTTCCAGCAGCTTTTTAGCCCCCAAATGTTGCATTTTTTTAGCAACCTGTGGCTGTTTTTCCAGCAGCTCTTACCCCCTAATCGGAGGTGTTTATTAGTGACCCATGGCTCTTTTTCAGCAGCTGTTTAGCCCCCATATGTGGGTGTTTTCTAGTGATAGATGACTGTTTTTCCAGTGGCTATTAGTCCACAGTCAGGGGTCTTTATTAAGCAACCCATGACTGTTTCCAGCAGCTGTTTAGTTCCTAAATGTAGGTATTATTTAGCGACACATGGCTGTATTTACAGCAGCTATTTAGCCCCCAAACTGGGATTTCTGTTTTCGACCTGTGGCTGCTTCTCTAGCAGCTATTTAGCTCCAAAATGTGGGTGTTTTTTAGCAACCTGTGGCTGTATTTCTAGTAGCTTTTTAGCCCCCAATCCTAGGTATCTTTTAGTATCCCGGGGCTCTTTTTCTAGCAGCTATTTAGCCCTGAAATTTGGGTGTTTTTAGCTGCCTATAGCTGTATTTCCAGCAGCTTTTATCCGCCAAACGTAGATGCTTTTAAGCACACCATGGCTGCATTTTTAGTTGCTATTTAGCCCCCAAATTTGGATGTTTGTTAGTGACCTGTGGCTGTATTTTCAGCAGATATTTAGCCCCCAAACATGGGTGTTTTTTCAGGTCACTGTTTTTCCTGCAGCTTTTTAGTACCTTTTATGTGGATGGTTTTTAGCAACCCATGGCTGTTTTTCATGTGGGTGTTTTAAGTGACCCATCACTGTTTTTCCTTCCAGGCTAGTACCATGAAAAGTGGTTGTTTTTTTACAGAGGCATTGTTTCCAGTAGGGATTGTGTCCCCCCTAACCCCTTGTATTTTAAGCTAAAACATGATCTTTTCCTAACCATAACCCACTGGTTTTTGTGCCTAACCCTAACCCAACCACATGTGAACCTTAGTGTTTTTGAAACGCAAAGTTTCAATAAATCATAATACATATATACATACATTCATACATACATACATAATGATGTGCAAATGTAACATATCCATGTTTTGCAGAAACGTACAATGTCAACATTTTTTTCTGGCAATTTGGTTGCAGTTTTTTGTCTCCAGCTGTGTTTTTGCTGTCCCACCTTGCTGTCGTCATCTCTCTCCTCCTGTTGTCTTCTCTGGATCTTGCTCATTTCCCCTCTCCCTCTTTCACCGGCCCACATGGCCCTTCCTCTCCTCTGCATCCCCATTAATGAAAAGCTCTATAAATAAGCACAGTGAAGAGGGAGTCGGAGGAAGAGAGAGAGATATGGTCAAGTAGAACGTGGGAGGGAGGTGGAAGGATGGACAGCAAACTGCTGTGAGTGGTAAACTAGGCCAATAGGGGTGAAGGGAGGAGGGCGGGTATCATATCAGAGTCTTGCGAGTTGCTCCGAGCGCCTCCGCCGTCAATCATGTAATCAATTTCAGCGTCAGTCAGTTTGTCTGCATCTCGGGTTGGTGTGTCACTCATTTCGCCCCAGACAGTTTGTCAGTCAGTCAGAGTTGGCGTGGAGCCGTCTTTTTCCTCCATCTGCCCTTTCTCTCGTTTGCATTCTCGATACGACTGGCTTCGTCCTTCCCTCCTTCCTTCCCTCCTCCCTCCTCTCCCAGTCCTCTCCCTGTCAAGAAGCCAGAATCTCATCTGGAGGGAGAGTTTATATCCTCCATAATATATACCATAATGCTGCTTCAGAACATTCCACATGAATTATTGATCCATGTGAGATTATGTGTAAACTAAACGCCATCATATCTGTGTATCTGTGTGTGTGTTTATGCACTATTTATGTGTGTCAAGTGTGACCTGTTCCGTCATCCCTCTGTGTCTTTAAAGCTCTGTTTTCCACAAGGTTTCCCCCTCCTTCGTTCTCTCCCCTCTGTGCCCCATTTCTGTGGACTGACATTGATATGCACTGATTCATATGATGCATGTAGCCTCTTGGCAATTCACTTTATTCAATCAATGTTGTATGGTGCTATGTTAACCTCTGTCTCCTTCTCTCCATCTCCCGCCTCCATCTTTTTTCCCTTTGTTTTCTCTCTTGCTATCTTGCTTTATCAAATCTCTGCCTACCCCTACTTTCTCGCTATCTCCATCTCTTTCTGTTCCTCTCCTCATCTTCCTTCCTCCATCTCTCCAGGTATTACTCTCCCACTCCTCCACCATGCCTGGCTGCGGCTGTCGCAGCCCCTCCTCACCTCGCGGCCAAGCCGGGGCCTCCTCCTCCGCCCCCTCAGTCGCCCAGGAGCGAGAGAGGCGAGTCCGACCCTTACATCCACCCCCACCTCCATCCCTCCACCGCCACACCAACACCTCTCACTGCCTCTCCCTCCTCCTCCTGCTGCTCTGCCTTCTCCACCTGCCCCCGGCCTGCCACTCACGGAGAGAGAAGGGCGGGGGAGGCGGAGGAGGTGGGGGAGGCGGTGGCGGCCACTACGTCCCCATCCCCCAGCCACCTCCCCACCACATGGCGCTGCCCAACATCCTGCGTGGCCTCAGCATTGCTGTCGTCCTAGTGGGCAACTCCAGCGAGGTGGCGTTGGCTGGGGCTCGGGAAAAGGAAGACTTCCTCCACATGGCGCCCAATGTGGAGGTGCTGACCATGAATGAGACGGACCCTAAAAGCATCATCAAGAGCATCTGTGACCTCATGACAGAGCATTGGCTGCAGGGCGTGGTGTTTGGGGATGACACCGACCAGGAGGCCATCGCCCAGATCCTCGACTTCATCTCAGCGCAGACACACATCCCCATCCTCGGAGTCCGCGGGGGCTCCTCCATGATCATGGCTGCCAAGGTAGGACACTCAGAGATGCACTCACAAAACAAAAAGTTGTCCCTGTTTACAGTGATCGTGCAAAGAAGTGTGTGTGGGTGGTTTTGAGTGTTAAAATATAAAGAGGGGACTCAACTTGGAAACAGTAAATGGAAAGTTTTGCCCAGCACCTACCTGTGACTGCTGCCACTGCAAAAAATGTTTAATTCAATAAAAATAAACTCTTACAAAATGATGCCAGACTACACTTAAAAACCTCCATTTTAAATGTTTAGTTCTGTTATTGGGAGTGCAGCATAGACAACAGACCTGCTCATTAAATGGCTGCCGTAGCATCAGATGTAATGTTGTTTCGTTCTTACAAGGCCGCTCTGTGAACTTGGATCTCTGCAGGATTTCATTTCGACTGGCTGCACTTTGCTGTCAATTTTCGCTGTGTGTCTGTCACTCTCTGTGAAAGCTTGTCACAGATAGATTACGTCACCGTACAGAGGTCTTTTCATCAAAGAAAGATATTTTTAAAGCAGTGGCTGCAGAGTTTAAACTCCTGCTGTTTGTTTTTCTGGCATCTCTGCCATATGCTCTTTTGTGATTTGTACTCATTTATGTTCTCTCTCTCTCAAGTTAAACACTTGTTGAAATCAGTGGGGCTCTACTTAGTGCTGACTACAGCTGCAATGATTAGATGATTAATCAGTTAATCGATTGTCAGAAAATTAGTCACCAATTAGTTAATATTTTGATAATCGATTGATTGTTTCAGTCATTTTTCAAACAAAAAATGTCAAACATTTGCTGCCTCCAGCTTCTTTAATGTAAGAATTTGCTGATTTTCTTTGTCATTTATGATAGTAAATGAAGAGTCTTTGGGCTTTGGCCTGTTGGTTGGACAAAAGAGGCAATTTAAGGATGTCACTTTGGACTCCTTGAAAAATTGTGATGAGCATCTTTCAACTTTTTTGACATTTTATAGACTAAATTAAATGATTTATCAAAAAAGAAAAAAATCGTTACCTGCTTGAGAGCAAGACAATGTGCATGCATAACCTGAGCCCACTGCACTGTCCTCTTCAAGTTTATCCAAAACAGTGACGCCATTTTGACTGACTTGGCTGCAGCACAGGATTTCTCATCTCATCCTCGACCGCCATTACTGCGTTAGTATTAACACTGGATTCAGACAGACACACAGACAGACAGACACACACACACACAGGCAGGGTAAGCTGGGGTGTCTGACTTGAAAGACAAACTGCCAACAGTGCTGATGCCAGTGACAGGATCAGCTGGAGATTTCACCAGAACAGAGAGCTAGATCTCTGCCTATTTACTAGGCCTTGCCTAATGGGATAAAGCAATCTGCTGCTGCTTTATCTGCGCCCGCCTGGGATCTGGGCTTGGACCCTATTTCACAAAATCAGCTCATTCATTTGGTACTTTGTGCATAAATACAGCTGTATTAAATAATAAGGAAAGAAATTAATGTGCCCTTCATTCAGGGAAACCTTTATTAAATTACTGACATTGGCTTCGGCGATCAAGAGCTATCAAGATCCATAAAATCTCAGTCCTATCTCGTCTCCCATCACCCTCCAGTTTGTCCGCTGACCCTCTGGTGTCAACAGGTTTTTGTACCAGTGGAGACACGAGTCGCAGTGACACGTCAAGGCCAGCGGCCACCACTGTAGCTCTTCTCTCTGTTACTTCTCATTAGAGCACTAAGGAGAGAAATGGCAGGGAAGCGTCCACTTCCATTTAAAACAGCGCTCCTCCAAGCACTCATGCAAAAACTGCTGTACAGTACACACATGTTCTCACAGCCTCATGCACACACTTTCTTAAATATCTAAATATCTGTCCCTGAACTGTGGCTACAGGTGTCTTTAACCTCCAACCCCACTAACGATGTGACGTGAAAATGTACGTCTGTGTTTTACTGCATGGAAAAATGCAGTGAGGTGAGAGGACGTGCAAACTGATACTTTGCATTTGTATCTTTCATACATATTATATAAGCATTTCTAGTGACGTAGTATGAGGCTGACTGTGTCACAGGGAGTTGGAGGGGATGGTGGATGGTGTGACACAGAGGCAAGACACCTGCCAAGCTGAAGACCACTTGAGCGACTCATTGGTGTGTTTCCATTGAGGATAATGTCACAAAAAATGCATGACATTGCTACGTTTCCTGCCAGAATAGTGCCACAAAAAGGGGTTGTATTTTACAGAGACATTTCTGCGTTTCCTGCCACGGAAAGCGATTGTTTTTAACGGAGACGTTGCTGCTTTTCCAGCGAAGGCAGTGCCACCAAAAGCAGGTATTTTAAGCCACAACATGAACTTTTCCTAACCATAACCAACTGGTTTTTGTGCCCAAACCTAACCACATGTTGACCACAGCGTTGTTGAGATGTAAAGTTTCAACACTTCTGCTACACAACGTACAAATAAAAGGTATCCATGGGTTGCAGAAATTTGTTTTTATTCTGGTGATTTGGTTGGAGGAGGAGGTAAACAGGAAGCAGTGGGGGGATAGTTAAGGAATGCATGAGCCTGAGTGCTTATGTGTGTGTGTGTGTGTGTGTGTGTGTGTGTGTGTGCAGGGACAGTATCATTCATTAAGCACACGTGCCCTAAGTGCACCAGGCAGCAGGAAAGAGCAGTGTTTTGTGGCAGAGGTTTAAATGGATTTCCCCGGCCACAAGCCAGAGTCTGCCTCTCCTGAGAGCTTCCTCCTGGCTGCACGGGGGCCCTGGAGAGCGAGGACGGGGCTGCGCTAAGGCTCAGTCTCCAAACGGATTTGTGTCTGCCTAATGGGCTGAGACAATGGAGTGGCGAAAATACGATAGAGAGGGATCAGAGGGAGGGGAGAGAGAGAGGGACATGGGGAAAGTGGAGGAATTGAGATAGTGAGGGTGAGATTGGGTGGAAGAAATTCTACTTTAAGTGAAAGCAGGTCGGGGAGCAGAAGGGTTTTTGCCAGATCAGGTGGGGTTCAGATGGGGCTGCCTGTAGAGGTGATGGACAGATAAGGGTAGAGGACAAGGGCAGAGTCAACAGCAGAAGAGGAGACAGAGGGAGGGAAAATGTCTCTGAAAGTGAGCGGTACATTCAGAGAGAGATAAAGAGAAATGAGGGAAAGAAAGAGTAAGGGGAGAAAACTTTTCTTCTGTATGGACCGCAGAGATGGAGAAAAAGTGATAGAGAGTAATTGTGAAAGATAGAACGAAAGGTCGAGTTATAGGGCTCAAGAAAAATTGTGCTGTATATGTTTTTTTTCTTCTTGTGAGCGAGCATCTCAAGAAAATGGACTGACAAAGACTGGGAAATAGGGATTGCAATATGAGGTGTTTATCTTAAGGCCCCGCTCCATCACACACACAAACACATACACACCGTCAAAACCGAAGGCCAAACTCTGCTATTACAGTTGGCAAGACACCCCCTCCTTTTTCATTACACATCCAAGGAAGGATGATAACAGGGAATGACACAGAAGGCGGAGAATACAGCATTTAGATTTTTTTAGTGCGGGCTGAATAGGGAAAGAATTTGGAGGAATGGTACAAGATAATTCCATAAAGTGTACCCTCTGGAGTGGACTGCTGTTGTGCCGTGTGAAGAGTGAGGCTGAATCAGAATCACAATGACATTTTTCTGCTCACATATGCATCTACAAGGAGTGTTACTTGGTATTTGTGGTGATGAAACACAAAGCTAAGCGCAGCATTATGCGCCAGTGGGAGATACAGTCCCCCAGTCCAGTCCAGCATCATACCCAGGACTTGGCGTTAAAAAATTAGAGCCTAGAAATTAGAGTATTGCAGCACAAGTGTCTCCCAATCAGCCTTACAAGTCTCTCTGAGTTTTCTGACATCTTTAACAAGAACAAAACTGGATTTTTTTAGTACTATTCCTCATGGGGACGGAGCCAAACTGCAGCAGTAGCTCAGCAATAAAAAGTGGGACTACAGCTACCACAGTGGCTGCATCTGTGCATACAGCTTGCCTGTGGGAAGCGGCTGTGGACTGTCTGTAGTTACTGCTAGTGCAGAGAAAAAGTGAACTTGTGCATGAGCCTGAAAGTAAGAGAGTTAAATAGATGAGGGGATGGGAAGAGGAAGCCAGGCGGCTCCGGTATTAACAAGGAATGAAGAAGAAGGCGGAGGAGGAAGGGAAAGGAGGGAGATGGATGGAGGCAAAGGGCACTCACATCTATATCAATGAATAAGATCAGTGAGGGAGGGTTGGGGCGGTAAGTAAGAGGATGAGTGCACTGAGTGCATGGCCGCGCGGCTGAGAAAGAGAGAAGGAGAGACGGAAAGGCAGAGTGACACAGAGCGTGTGTTTTGCAGGGAGTGCAGCAGCAGGTGTATCGCCATCCATCCAACATTACAAGAATAAGAGAAGCTGCCTCTTTGCTCAGGAAATCGCGGCCTAAATGGAGGAGGAATGAAGGGGGAGAGAAAGATGGATAGAGTGCAGCTGTACTCACATCTGTGAAAGACAGGACAAGATCGAGGAGGAGGAGGAGATGGAGAAAGGAGAGGGAAAGCATCCAACAGTTTAAGGGTGTGTGTGTCCTTGTGCATCTGCGTGTGTGTTGTTACCTAGCCAACATGGCTGTGGTTGCCAGTCTTTTGTCTGTAGTGGTTTCCAGCACCACCCTGCTCGCTGTCCCTCTACAGTGTCTGTTGGACTGCAGCAATCAGTGTGATCTAAAGCTTTGGCTAATGCTCATATTATCAAGACATGGTGAGCCATTTTCCTCAGCTTGTCTAGAAGGTATGGCTTTGTAGTGGTACAAATAGCTGTAGTTGTCGCCGATCACCCCCAGGGCCACCGCATAATACGAACAGCGGGCTAATCTACGAGTGGAGGCTGCTTGTGCTGCAGATTAGGGGAGAGATAGCATCCACTTGTGCGCGGGATTTAAATGTAGGATTGTCAGCAATTAATGAAAAAAGGGAAAGCAGCCAACCCTGATGACCTGAGGGAAAATATAATAACATTTGCACACA